ATGTGGTATGGATTATGATTATGTTTGTGCTTTGGCCCATCACCGTAATACGATTTGGGGCTTTGACTTCAGCGTTTCACTTAGAAGGACACCGCCCCTCCAAAATCCCAACATGTTGGATTAAGGCGTCTAAGACAATAACTAAATTGCTATATACTTGAATTAAAAGCGAAGTCCTTTTGGGTTGTCCTCAAAACTAGTAATTGACTAGAATTACTTTCGGAGAGAGGGAGAGATAGAGAGAGAGAGAGAGAGAGAGAGAGAGAGAGAGACTGATTTTATTGATTTATTATATGATTAATAAATAGCAATAAATAATTTGTTAATATATTATGAGATTAATATATTAATTAGAAATAGTATTATTTAATTATTAATTAATCATAATTTAATTAGAATTAATTTTGGGATTAATTGGATTAATTAAAAGTGCAAGAACTTAAGTGAAATTATTTAATAGTTGAACAAGAGAATAATTCTAGATTCTTCCTAAGGGTGGCTGAATTTAGGCTTGCCTCTAGGATTTCTAAAATGCTCCATGTGGATAATTAGGAAACTAGATAATTTCGGATTTGAAATAATTTATTTTATTTCAAATTAGGGTTTCTAGGGTTTTTCTCCCAGCTATAAATAGGACCCTTAAGAGTCCTCATTTTCGTCCATCATACCAAAGGAATAGCCGAAATTCCAACTCCCTACCCTCTCTCCTCAAGTGTTCTAATTGTTAGGGTTTGAGTACAAACCATTAGAAACATTGGATTTATGGTGCTTGCTTTCCAAGACATTTGAAGAAAGGAATTGGTTTGGTTATTTGCTATAATAATCAAAAGGTATGTAAACCCTAATCCATTGTTAATTTCGATTATAATAGGGCCTCCTTAGGGTTCTTGATGTTCATATATTATAGCTATCAATAGAGAAAATTTAGATCCAAATAGGTTGAATGTGAACTTAAGGGTTAAGTTATTTCACATCATGCCTTGAATTATAACCTATAAAACCTATCACAACATTCATTGGCGAGTTCCCTTTCTATTAAAAATGTCCAATACATGGAAGTTTACTCCGACATGATGATTCGGCAGAAAGCAGTTTTTGAGTGCCTAAGGGCACCACATACTTAGGATTTTCTTATGACTATTCCTATTGACAGCCTTGGCCAACATATGTCGCAAGTGGAGTATCGTGCTATCCTCAAGTATCGATTTATGATCCCTTTATTTTTGGTTGATGAGACATGCCCATTGGAAGGAAGATCAACGTTTAGACCAACTTATGTTTTAGTTTTTGGATGGTGTGGAGGGAAGCATGCATGTGTAGATCTAACAGGGGTTTCCCCTCTTGTGGGCTTAGTGAGTGGGGTTTTCAATGCGGGGCAAACTACTTTAGAAGCTGCTTCATGCAAAGTGTCAAAACAAAAGAAACCGTGCATGGACAATCAACACACGTTTATACATTTTGCATTTGATACTTTCGGTTTCCTTGCACCAGATGTAGTGGAGCTCCTCAATAGAGTCCAACGGGTCATGTATAATAATGTTATGACCAATGTTTTAAAAACCGGTTTTTTAGTTGAACCGGTATGGTAACCGGTTCACGGTTCAACCGGTTCTACCGCCGGGTGAACCGGTTTCTATAGTTTTCATGTTTTTTTCTATTTTCCTATACATACATACATATATAAAGTATGAATTTGATATTTACAAGTTCAAACATTAAAAATACACATAAAAATACGTTGTAGATGAATCCAAATACATTAAAATAACACATAACCATAAGTTTTAGTGTTTTACATCAATCTATATACGTCAAAAAGAAAATAAAGTATAATACTGAAACGAAATATAATTTTAAATGAATACAAACACATCAAAAAACTTTATAACATTTACCATATGTTTTTATTTAGAGAAAACTAAATAGATTTGAAAAAAATCACCAAAGTTTATTATGTAAATGATTCTTTTTCATGTGTTTTTATTCGGTTTAACCGGATTTTTCTAAAAACCGGCCGGTTCAATCCGGTTCAGAAATCAATGTAAAACCGGTGATAATTGAACCGCTCCTTCTCCCGGTTCCCGGTCCAAACGGTTCGACCGGCCGGTTTAAACCGGTTTTTAAAACATTGGTTATGACCCCAATGTCTATGACTGTTGTTTTTAAAAGAATTAGTTTTGTCATTCAAAAAAGGGGTTGCGACACAACTTGTTGCTCGTTTACCCACTATATCTATGTAAAACTTTTATGTTTAATCTAATTCAAATTTGATCAAAAAAAGTTGGGTAAAATTTCTTATTGTATGGTTCAAAATAATTACAAAATTTTAGATTAATTTTTAGACAAAACTTCAAAAATGGTCCCTGTGGTTTTCGAAAATATCAAGTTTGGTCCCTAATTTACAAAGACCTCACGGATCTTCCCTGTGGTTTCAAAACTTTTAACATTTGGTCCTTTCGGCTAACTCCGTTACCATTTAGCCGTTAAGTCAGGGGCATTTTTGTCATTTCACTACACAGGGACCATTTATGAGGTATTCAATTACTTTTTTTTTAAATAAATAAATAAATAATATTTAATATGCAAGGGTCCCACCCCTCTCTCTCTCTCTCTCTCCCCGCTAAAATAATAAAGGACCATATTAACCCACCTCTACTGCCATCAACATTACAACCTTCCCCTTCCTTCTCGTCGTGAACCGCCGGATGCCAAAATAACCGGGCAGCAGAGCTGCCACCCACCATTGGCAAAACCCACTTCACCACCGCCACCGCAGTGACTGTTGGAACACCCCTACTCTGACCATCTACCATCTGACATCGTCCATCGCTCTTCCCTCTCGTCATCCCCGCTGAGCAGAAGCAAGAAGGAAGCAAGAAAGGCAACCGGAGCAACCTCCGGCCACTACTACAGCCGCCATCTGCTGCTGCCACCATGATTCCAGCCGCCACCACCACCTTCTACTGCTTCAATCGATTTACAATGCAAAATTACCTTTTCTGGAAGGATCTTTTGGGAGGATTGGTAGAGGACTAAGAAGCACAAGAATGTGAGGAGTGGGATCAGGTGAATGGAATGATAATGGATAAGCAGAGCACCTACGATTCCTCATGCCTGTATCCAAGTCTCTTACAATTTTCCCTTATTTTAATTCCAACTCCTTAATTTCTTATTCCCATCTCTATACATGTTCATCTATTTGCTGAATTGGATGTCTCTGGACAGAAAATTGGAATTGTATGCTTCCAATGGTGATAACTCTTACTAAATAAATCAGAAAATGAAGGAGGAGAACAATGCACTCCAGGTGCTCGATGAAACACCTGAAAGAAATGTTCATTCACAAAACTGAAAGTGTATAATTTCACACCTGGAGAAGAAGATTGGCTCTCAATTCGAACAGGCCACACTCGATGAGGTGTTTGGGTTACAACAACAGCAACACCACCCTTGGGGGTGGTGGTGTTTCTCGGTAGTGAAGGAAAAGGGGAAGGGCAGTAGAAAAACGTGAATGGAAGGCAGTAAGTGGTGGTATTTGAGGGTGGGTTTGAGTGATCAAACGGGATGGAAGATGGGTGGCTGGGTTGTGGTTTCCGGTGGGGAAGGAGGTGATGGCAGTGGTGGTTTTATGGCGGAAGGTGGTGCTACCGTGTGGAGAGAGAGAGAGAGAGAGAGAGAGAGAGAGAGAGGTGGGACCCCTTGCATATTAAATATTATTTATTTAAAAAAAAGTAATTGAGTACCTCATAAATGGTCCCTGTGTAGTGAAATGACAAAAATGCTCATGACTTAACGGCTAAATGGTAACGGAGTTAGCCGAAAGGACCAAATGTTAAAAGTTTTGAAACCACATGGACGATCCGTGAGGTTTTTGTAAATTAGGGACCAAACTTGATATTTTCGAAAACCACAGGGACCATTTTTGAAGTTTTGTCTATTTTTTATTTAATATAAAATGTATTATTCGATTGTTAATAAAATAACTTAATTTTATTTATATACACACCAAGATTCTTCAAATAGTTTAATTAAACCCCAGCCCACCTGTTTTATTTTACTTGAAGCCCCTTCCCCCTTAATGTAAAAATATAATAGGAATCGATCTTTTTTTAATGTACAATTAAGCAATCAAAGTTTTAAGCTGTTAGTTTTCAATTTCACTTGATCATATACTCGTATTGGAAGATATAACAGCTGGAATCAATTTTGATACATATGTGACGTCTATGTAGGCAAAATTTGGTCACTCTCTATGTTCCACTAACATTTCATCCATGTATACTTTCTATTTGAATTTTATTTCTTCAATTTAACATTATTTCATTTATATATTTTTTTCATTTTAACTTGTCTCATTTCATTTTGTAATTTCTTACGGAATGAACTCTTTTTTCTTTCTTCCTGAATTTCAACCAAGTCCGAATTTGAACCTAAATAAAAATCGCAACAAAATCACCTTCATCCATTTGGGAAGTTCGAGGTTGTGTATACTTGTTGAAAAAGTGTAGGCAGATTATCGATGAATCATAGATATAAAGTGTAGGCATACTATCGTAGTTATTAGGATTTTACATTTTGGTTTATTTCATCTGACACAGTGGGTTTTCATTTTGCTTTACGTGTGTGATTTCGTTAAAGTTGCTTCAACAACTTAACATATCATTTGATAAAGACGAGTCACACATAAACACATAATTGGAATTCCTCATCTTGGGTTGATTTTGCCATGGAACCAAAGTTCAAACATAGAATTGCATGCCACAATCCACCATTTCAACTCCATTGAATCCCACCACCTTGAAAACACATCATACCCATAAAATCATTTCAACTCTATTCTATCCCCCCACCTTCAGACAAATCATACCAATAAAATTCAATTACGTGACATGATAGTGTGGTATGATATAGATCCGATTTTATTCATTACTTAGTTATATCTTATCATGCTATCACGTCAAGTTGTTAGATGACAAATTTGATATTATCATTAATAGATACCATAATTTTACTACTTTTTAAGGTCAAAAAAGCAAGATTAAGCAAAAAGAGTAGCTTCTTTTTGCACTTTGGGTCCTATGCTAGTGAGATCCTCGACATCAATAGTCTCATCACTCTTTTGGCTCAAAACCCTTTCTTCCTCGGCATCAAAACTAGCATGAACACTGTAAACAAAATATACAACTACCACTAGAGCCGAAAAGACTGCAAACCGTATATAAGAAGGCCCATCAAGATTTCCCAACAAGAATATATCAAGAAAGATCGAGACACATGGTATCCATGGCATCAACGGGACCCCCCAAAAATCGGGCTTTCTTGCTTGTGGGACCGCGTAATTAAACAAAACCACTAATCCAATAGCAACCATGGAGCACACCCCAAGCACAAACACCTTAGGTGTACCACCCGGCACCACCCACCAAAGTAAAGTGAATATAAGAGAAGTGAACGAGAAGCTTAAAAGGAAGGACACTGTGGGCCATGGGCTACGGGTGTCATTTGAGACATAACGTCTGTAGATTACCGCATTTGCGACCATTAAGAAGACAAAAAGTGTTCCAATGGAAACAAGGTTGAGAAGGACATCGAGCTCGGTGAAAAGGGCAATGGCAGCCGTGAAAATACCTAAAAATTTGATATGTTAATATGAAAAAATAGTTTGTGGTTGATTTTAATGTTGAATTTTGGGAAAATGAAGTTACCAAGAAACATGGATGCGTTCACGGGTGTTGATGTTTTTGGATGGACTTTTGCAAACCATATTGGAACAATGTTGGACCGGCCAATTACACAGAGGTATCTGGCCTGGCCCAACATTGCAACCAGTAGGGAGGTTAGGATCCCGAAGCTGGCTCCAACTCCTATCACATTGGATACCCACTTCCATCCGTTTCTTTTTATTGTAAATGCCCCTGAAAATGGTGCCTCCGGGTTTATCTAACATAATTGAAAGTAGGTTGTGGTTATATGTAAATTTTAAAATATGGATTACGGTAAAACACGATCGTTATTTCTCCCAACAAAAGCATATTACAACAATTTTAAAATGGATTGATACATGAAATATTATATAAATTTCATTACTTGTTATTAAGAAAATAGTTTATGTATGCCACTATCATAAGAAAACAATTTATAATCCCTTGACAAAAACAACAGCTTTCATTTAAAAAGGTCAAATCTTTTGCTTTGTTTTTGGCGTTTTATAAGTAGTTTTGATATTTAATTTGAAGTTTACTTTTCACAAGCAACCAACTTGATGTTTATGACTCTCTTCCTCACTATATTATCCACCATTCAACTTGTTATGTTATATAATGTTTGTTACTATTGTTTAAAATTTTAAATAACAAAAACATTCGTAATGGTAAAAAAAAAAAAAAAAGAATAACTAAAATCTATACACCAAAAGTAATAATCACAATTGGTAAAAGGAAACGTAATTTGGATTAAAAACTAACAAGTATTATAAATATTATGCAGAACTTTTTTTTTAACAGCATGTTAATATTTAATAACCACTTTGGTTATTGCACAGTAATCTAAAAATCCAATTGTGTGGCAACTAAGGTGGAGACTAGATAACAAAAAATTTTACTTTTTTAAGGTATGGTTTAATACGTGTGGCATGCAAAGGATGCGGTGCACAGAGATCATCCACCAAAAGTAGAATACATATTCACCAAATAGATACTTTATTTTTGTATATGATTTGTAATTATTAGTTAAATATTTACTACGAATTCAATGCATACCAGATCATAAGGAAGAAGCATCGACATTGAAGTCGCCATTAAACAGTATAGAACAGTAACGAGGATAACGGAACCAGTAACTCCGATAGGGATATCGGTTACCGGGTTTTTAACCTCCTCAGCCAGCGTCGATACGGCGTCGTAACCAATGTAACTCAGGTAAACCAGAGTAGCACCATTGAACACCCCCGGAGCTCCGAATGGGAAGAACCCGCTCGGATGACTCGGGTCGGATGGCTTCGTGAAGTTCTTCGAATCTCCTTTCCAAAACCCCATTATGATCACAAACATTATAAACAGAATGTGTAGCGCAGTCAGAATCATATTCAACACGGAGCTTTCTCGCGTGCTGTAATCAATTGAAATTAAAATTGGAATCGTTAGCTATTGGATTTTTGGTTATTACGATTTGAAACGAAAATGTTGAATTAAGGACCTGTAACAGATGATGATAGTGAGGATTGATATGACGACGACTGCGATGAAATCAATTTGATTGAAACCTTTTGGTAGAGAAGAAATGGTTATTCTCCATTTGGACTCTGCGGAAACACCAATGGCTGTTCCGAGATAGGTCGTGAAGCTTCTCGCTACGGCGGCATTGGACAAAACGTAATCCATTATCAGATTCGCTCCGGTTAAAAATGCCGTGAACTCGCCTGAGAAAAAAAAAATCAACCAACTCGATCAGATTACACTCATGCGATGGCTTGTTTAAAGCAAATTACTGGATTAGTGAATCTATTTTAATGAAACGAAGCAAACAAACCAAAAGTGACTCGGATGTAGCTAAAGGCACCGCCTGCGACGGGCATGTGCACGGCGAACTCGGTATAACAGAAAGCGGAAAGTAGGGCGCAGAATCCGGCAATGACGTAGGATAAGACGACGGCGGGGCCAGCCTTGTCGTGACTAGCGGTGCCAGTGGTGACGAAGACGCCGGCGCCGACCATACCTCCGACACCAAAACAGATTAGATCGTACCAACGGAGACTCTTCCTCATTTTGCCACCATAGCGGAATCTGACACCGCTTGTTTCGTCAAAGGTGGTGGAGACGGATCCGGCACGACGGGAGAGCCGGCGAGGAGTATCGCGGAGGGCATTAAGGTAGGATTTGAAGCTTGAGAAAGAGGATTCATTGCTTTCCATCGCCTTTCTACTTTCCCTCTCTCTCTAAATTTCTCTACTCTGTGTATTGGATTTTTGGCTGTATGTATAACTTGTAGAAGAGAAGGAAATGTTTATAAAGACAACTTAGACACACACAATTACCCCGTGGATTTGGATTACAGAAAGTGACAGCGGGCGGTAAAACAAACGGCGGACGAAATGTTTTTAGTAGCGGTCCCTATGAAATCTACTTTTTCCAATGCAGCCCCTATTTATGTTAGTAATTATCATATAAGGACTGCATTCCACCTTTTAGTTGTTTTCAGAAAAAAGTTGGCTTTATAATAAGTTGATAATGATAATCCACCACTAATTACACTTGTCTTCATCCAGTAAATGATTACTCCAACCACAATTGACTTGCCAAATAGTATTCGTAACTCAAAAGTTCACTGAATATGCACCAGTTTATTATTAAATAAGAATCAAGTTAAAAGTGTTCAATAATAAAAACAAAAATTAAATTGGGAACATATATCAGCTGATTAGGTTTGGATTGACTTGCTCCGGAATATTACAGAGTAACGATACGATATATACTTCAATTCCTTTCCTAGTTATACAAAACTTAAAAGGCGAAAAACTCCAATGAATTATGTTCTATATCATATTTTATCTGAAAACATCTACGAGTCAGTCTATAACATCCGATTTCTAGTTATTGGGATCTCGACGTGATGCGGTTGTGATTTGTCCATGGCACAACTACGTCGATTAAATGAGGATCACAGTTGTTTGGTGCCCGTGTCTGTCCGCAGCGCAGCGGCCGCCACACCCCAAAACCCTAGATCTCGGGGCTTGGGTCCCATTTAAGGAATATGATGTAAGGGTTTGTTGATATTCTCCCGCCTCCAACATCAGAAAACCCTAATCATGAAACTTGAGCCTCTCCTCACTCCATTCTTCTTCTTTGGTGGTTTTGGCATATTGGAAAGCTTTTGGTGTGATGATTCAAGAGTTGTTGGCATTCTTAGCTCAGATCGAAAGATTCATCAGCCTTCTTATCCATGTTAAACCTCTATAAGTCTTCAAGCTTACACCTTTATGCTTATAGCTTTATAGATCTTGGTTTATATGCATGTTTTGTCCCCTTTTGATGGATTTGAGTTGGAGTTTGGAAAACTCTATTAGTTGCATAAATTGCACCTTTTCATAGGTTAATTTCATGTTTATTTATAGCATTGCATTGCATTTTTACTGTAATTTTCATGCATTTTGCATTTAGGGACATTATCGAGGATCTGTCTATATTTCACCATTTTTGTTGATGTTTCAGGGTGATTTGAAGATTGGAGCATGCTTAGGATGTTCGAGGGAAGCTCTCAGTGAAGTTTCGAAATTTTCGGAGCTAAATTGAAGAAATTGAAAAAAATCGGAAATTGGCTATTTTGTAGCACGTTACATCGCCCGCGCTTTGGCAAGGCATACGTTACACGGCCACACTTTGAAAGCATTTCAACACATCAGCACCATTACACGGTCGTGTAATGGCAAGACATACATTACACGGGTCGTTTAACGAGGTCGGGCAATTTCTTTGACTTGCAACTTCCGATAAAATGAGTTTTTCTGAGGAATTTTAAAGAGACTTCAACCATGGACTTCAAGGAGGCGATTTTGGGAGATCATATCACTATTGAGCACTTTTGAAACACTTTAATTTTCATTTTGTAGTTGATTTGAAGATCAAAACTTGTTGAATTTGTAGTTTGATTTAGCCATGTGTGGCTAACTTCTCTATCATTTCCGATTCTAGATTCTTAAGTGTTTGTCACTTTGTTGTTAGATTGTAATTTGCACTTGATTTCATGTTTATCATCTAGTAATCTTTGATTTGGTCTTCAATATGTGTTTTATTAGTCCTCTTTTCACTTGATCAATGGAATCAGGGTTCTTATCAATCTAGTTAGTCAAATTGTGAAATTCGTATATGTTTTATGATTTGATGTTGGTAACATACACTTGATTGGTTTCAAATAGATCAAAATTATTGTAATCAAAGATTAGATGTTCATATTCCCGAACTTATGAGGAATATTTGATATTGTTGGTAATTGTTACAAGAGCTTAATGTCATTTAGTGATTTGATGCAAAAGCTTATTTGAATTGAATCAACCAAATGAAGTTTTGTTTGAAGAGCATATTTTGAATAAAACAATTTTGTTAACATTGATATTAGAGCTTATTAATATCTTGATTACCAACCTAGATTGAACATGAATCATAGTCATATTATATCTTATAACATTGCACATGAATGGGAATCAGAATCGGAATTGTCTTTAAATTCTTGAATTTTAATTTTCAAACTATCAGGTTTCCAATTTATTTATGAAATTTTATTTCAGCAACAAAACCCCTTCTTTTTAATAATTGGTATTGATGTGTCACGTGAAAAATATGGTTAAACGATAAGTCCAGTATCTCTGTGGACCAACCCTGCTTATTCTATACTATCTCTAATGTATTGTAGTAGTGAAAATGAACTCAATTGTTATTATTTATCCCTTTATTTTTTGGTTTGACACACCAAACAAACTCCACAGTTAAATGTTGAATCTTTAAGTACTCTAGACTCATTGTGGTGCTAAGATCTGTATTTCATCTTTTTGGAAGTGTCATGCATGGTTTTTAGTTGTTTTTGGCCCATTCTTGACCTAAGTTGAGTATTGTATGTTTTGAGGTGTGCAATTGGATAAAGTTGAAAACTTTATCCATTAAGTCGAGGTTTTAATATTATCTGAAAAGTTTGAGCCTTAATCTTAAGGGATTAAGTGCTTAATGAACTTAGTTTCTACTACAGAAAACGCGACATGGCCATCAAGGGTCCGTGACGTGGTGTCGTGTTTGGACCACAATTGTTTTGTCGTGATTGGGCCATGACGCGGCCGAGGAATGACCACGACACGGTTGGCATTTGACTTTGACTTTGAATTTTTGACCAGTTTGACTTTTGGTCAAATTTGGATAGAATTGAGTATTTGACTAAGGACTGGTCTCGGGTGATTATTAGGTTGCTTGTGTTAGTTGTTTCTGTGTTGGGGGTTGCTGGTGAGCTTCTGCTGATTAGCTCATGTGAGTTTTCTAACTATACTATTTATTGTAGCATGTGTCCTTGTGTGCTAGGAGGTGGTTAGACTATAGTATGGTGTTAATCAGGTAGACTCGTAGACTGTTATATATGATGTTATGTTGTCTGTTTATTTGTATTATGCATATGTGGACATATTTTGTGGTGGTCTGAGGCGTTCCAGCTTTGTACGGAAGGGCAGGATGCGAGCAAACCAACTTTATGTTAAAGGTCAAGGGATGAGTTGATAACAAGCTCAACATTAAATGTTGTGAGTCTAGACACTCACAAGGGGTGATTTGATGGCAAGATAAACTAAACTGTTGTGAGCCTAAATTCTTGTTGGGTTGATACGGACCCGTTGCTGTTATGTATATATAGTCGTATGTGGTATTTTGGGGAACTCATTACGCTTTGGCTTACAGTTTTGGATTGAATATTTTTCAGGTACTTTATCAGATCGTGGGAATGTGAAGGAATGACTGTACACACATCAGCAGTCTTATGAGTTGAGATTTTGTGATATTTTCGTTATAACTCTGATTTTTTGGATTATGGTTTATGAACAAATGTTTTTGCTTTGAATATCTTTATGCAACTGGGTGTTTATTCTAGTTTAAAAATGAAAAATTAATTCTGAAAATCAGGACGTTATACAGTCCTTAAACAATTTTTTTATTTCGATTTTGTTTTTATCGACTATTGTCCATTTTCTGTTGAGTAGATATATTTTCGTCCAATGTGATGTTACATTTCGATGTTTATATTGTTGGCGATTTTAGCGTTATCAATATATTTTAGTGTAGTTAGTATTACTATCGAGACAAACTAAATTTATTTTACTATTTGAGATTGGACGTGTGTGGTGCACACTCAGAGTGATAAATGTGAATTCGGGAATACGTGAGTCCGAAGACAGCGCCCCTGTGTACAGGGTTCAACGGGCAGCACCCCTAGCGGGGTCCATTGAATTTCCACGACATGAAATGGTCTGAACATATATTTCCCGCCAAAAACATGTTGATGATGTAGGTTGTGGTTATTCTTTTGTGACTACTATTAACCACCCTTAACCACCATCTTCCATGTATAAAAATGAAGATGGATGTTGCGTGTAAAGGTTAGAACATTTGTAACTGAAAAACTGTTCATCTCTGCAACCTTCTATCTCTCTAAAATGCAAAACAATAGGTATATTCTATATTTCTGATTTGAAAAAATCCTGAATTCCAAATCATTTGTTCTTGGATTATCCCAAATTAGATTTTGTGAAACCCCATGCAATAGGGACGAATCACAAATTTTGGAAAATGTATAAATAAAACACGGTCCTTGAATTATCAAAGTTGTAACTGATATTTTTAGGCCTACAATCTAACATACATGATGAACTAGATGAGTATATTTGTAAACACCATTTAATGTTCCCTTTTATCATCTACCTAATTTTTTTCATTGATGTTTGGAGAGTTATTCGCAAGCTTATCATGTAGTGTCTTCCACATACAACCCGAAAGACTTTCAATACAAAAGTCCAATATGAATACAACTCTCCATATAGATGTAAATGTGGGAAGAAATTAAAGATTGCTACAAGTTGGAGTAAAGATAATTCATGTCGAAAGTTTGGGGGATTCCTTAACTGAATAGTCAATAATTTGAATTTCTTGTGTTTTTTGTCGATTAGGATCTTTAGTTTTCTTATGGAATATTTAGGATCCAAGTAAGAAATGCAACACCTATATTTGATGGACCCTAAACTTCCAAATGAGAACTATATCTTATACTATGAAATATAGGCATACGAAATTCAGGGTGTTATAAAATGAAACATTGTATTTTGTAACACCCCTCATTATGATAGCTTTAAAATGCCTTTTTAGAGTAAATATATGTGGAATAATATTGGTCCCAAAAGCATTAAACTAGTTAAGTATTTAAAATTACGAGGTTGTAACAATTTCA